CAACTGTTATACTATCACTCTAACTGGTTAAGATACCTGGTCAACAGATGTGTCCTGGCCCAACTGTTATACTATCACTCTAACTGGTTAAGATACCTGGTCAACAGATGTGTCCTGGCCCAACTGTTATACTATCACTCTAACTGGTTAAGATACCTGGTCAACAGATGTGTCCTGGCCCAACTGTTATACTATCACTCTAACTGGTTAAGATACCTGGTCAACAGATGTGTCCTGGCCCAACTGTTATACTATCACTCTAACTGGTTAAGATGCCTGGTCAACAGATGTGTCCTGGCCCAACTGTTATACTATCACTCTAACTGGTTAAGATATCTGATCAACAGATGTGTCCTGGCCCAACTGTTATACTATCAATATAACTGGTTAAGATACCTGGTCAACAGATGTGTCCTGGCCTAACTGTTATACTATCACTCTAACTGGTTAAGACGCCTGGTCAACAGATGTGTCCTGGCCCAACTGTTAAACTATATCCCTCTAACTGGTTAAGATACCTGGTCAACAGATGCGTCCTGGCCCAACTGTTATACTATCACTCTAACTGGTTAAGATATCTGATCAACAGATGTGTCCTGGCCCAACTGTTCTACTATCAATATAACTGGTTAAGATACCTGGTCAACAGATGTGTACTGGCCCAACTGTTATACTATCACTCTAACTGGTTAAGATATCTGATCAACAGATTTGTCCTGGCCCAACTGTTATACTATCAATATAACTGGTTAAGATCCCTGGTCAACAGATGTGTCCTGTCCCAACTGTTATACTATCACTCTAACAGGTAAAGTTACCTAGTCAACAGATGTGTCATGGCCCAACTGTTATACTATCAATCTAACAGGGTAAGATACCTAGTCGACAGATGTGTCCTGGCCCAACTGTTATACTATCACTCTAACAGGGTAAGATACCTAGTCGACGGATGTGTACTGGCCCAACCGTTATACTATCACTCTAACTGGTTAATATACCTGGTCAACAGATGTGTCCTGTCCCAACTGTTATACTATCACTCTAACAGGTAAAGTTACCTAGTCAACAGATGTGTCATGGCCCAACTGTTATACTATCAATCTAACAGGGTAAGATACCTAGTCGACAGATGTGTCCTGGCCCAACTGTTATACTATCAATATAACTGGTTAAGATACCTGGTCAACAGATGTGTCCTGTCCCAACTGTTATACTATCACTCTAACAGGTTAAGTTACCTAGTCAACAGATGTGTCATGGCCCAACTGTTATACTATCACTCTAACAGGGTAAGATACCTAGTCGACAGATGTGTACTGGCCCAACCGTTATACTATCACTCTAACTGGTTAAGATACCTGGGCAACAGATGTGTCCTGGCCCAACTGTTATACTATCACTCTAACAGGGTAAGATACCTAGTCGACAGATGTGTCCTGGCCCAACTGTTATACTATGACTCTAACTGCTTGAGATACCTGGTCAACAGATGTGTACTGGCCCAACTGTTAAACTATATCACTCTAACTGGTTAAGATACCTGGTCAACAGATGTGTCCTTGCCCAACTGTTAAACTATATCACTCTAACTGGTTAAGATACCTAGTCGACAGATGAGTCCTGGCCCAACTGTTATACTATCACTCTAACAGGTTAAGTTACCTAGTCAACAGATGTGACATGGCCCAACTGTTATACTATCACTCTAACAGGGTAAGATACCTAGTCGACATATGTGTACTGGCCCAACCGTTATACTATCACTCTAACTGGTTAAGATACCTGGGCAACAGATGTGTCCTGGCCCAACTGTTAAACTATATCCCTCTAACTGGTTAAGATACCTGGTCAACAGATGTGTACTGGCCCAACCGGTATACTATCACTCTAACTGGTTAAGATACCTGGTCAACAGATGTGTACTGGCCCAACCGGTATACTATCACTCTAACTGGTTAAGATACCTGGTCAACAGATGTGTCCTGGCCCAACTGTTATACTATCACTCTAACTGGTTAAGATACCTGGGCAACAGATGTGTCCTGGCCCAACTGTTAAACTATATCACTCTAACTGGTTAAGATACCTAGTCGACAGATGTGTCCTGGCCCAACTGTTATACTATCACTCTAACTGCTTGAGATACCCGGTCAACAGATGTGTACTGGCCCAACCGTTATACTATCACTCTAACTGGTTAAGATACCTGGTCAACAGATGTGTCCTGGCCCAACTGTTATACTATCACTCTAACAGGTTAAGATACCTAGTCGACAGATGTGTCCTGACCCAACTGTTATACTATATCACTCTTACTGTTTTAAATACCTGGTCAACAGATTTGTACTGACCCAGCTGTTATACTATCACTCTAACTGGTTAAGATACCTGGTCAACAGATGTGGCCTGGCCAAACTGTCATACTATCACTAACTGCTTGAGATACCTGGTCAACAGATGTGTACTGGCCCAACCGTTATACTATCACTCTAACAGGTTAAAATACCTAGTCGACAGATGTGTCCTGGCCGAACTGTTATAATATCACTCTAACTGGTTAAGACACCTGGTCAACAGATGTGTCCTGGCCAAACTGTTTTACTATCACTCTAACTGGTTAAGATCCCTGGTCAACAGATGTGTCCTGGCCCAACTGTTATCCTATCACTCTAACAGGTTAAGATACCTGGTCAACAGATGTGGCCTGGCCAAACTGTCATACTATCACTAACTGCTTGAGATACCTGGTCAACAGATGTGTCCTGCCCCAACTGTTATACTATCACTCTAACAGGTTAAGATCTATCACTCTAACTGGTTAAGATACCTGGTCAACAGATGTGTCCTGGCCAAACTGTCATACTATCACTCTAACAGGTTAAGATACCTAGTCGACAGATGTGTCCTGGCCCAAATGTTCTACAAGTATATCGATACGGAAGTTAAAAGAAGGTTACTGCAGGGAAATTCAGTGCAGTGGGACAGGGATTTTTGATACAAAATGTCCTTCGCCAGTACACAACCAACAGTTACACAAATGATAGAACATCTCTATGCAAACGATAACAATGAAAAACTCATTATAAAAACAGCATGCATGCAACATACGGGTCCAACTTGCAAAACCTTTGACGCAAGACCTTATTAGGAAATCAAAATTAATTTACTGGGATGCTGTGCAATGGACCAGAATATATGTATAATCAGGTTTATTATACACCCACCTAGGTATACATTTTTACTTACGTAATAAAATGTATACACATATATTTTTGTCAAGGTTGTTACCTACTTTTGTACAAAATTGAGTCCCCTTGGCCCAAGGATGCTCCAGACTAAATTAGGACAAAATTACTTAATCCCTACAGTAGAAGAAGGATTTTAAAGGTTTTACATCTATTTCCATTATTTGGCCCCGCCCCTCTGCCCCCAGGGTGGCCACACCCACCGTTTATACAACATTGAGTCCCCTTGGCCTAAGGATGCTCCAGACCAAATTTAGTCAAAATCTACTTAGCCGTTCAGGACAAGTAGTGTTTTAAAGGAAAAGTTGACGGGCTGAAGACAGACGGACAACGGACGCTGTGGTATGGCATTAAATTAAGCTCACCATGGTCTTGGACCAGGTGAGCTAATAAATATATAAAAACATTTATTTAAGGTGATACGAAACCTTGTACATCTTCAGTTTATATGTAACTGTAATACATGTACACCATGCAGGGGGGAACTTTATTTGGCCAAATACACAAAGTAAGCCAAAGCTGTTGAATTAAATAATAATAAATAAATTAAATCTTCTTTCCAATATTATGATATTCTAAATGTCAATCACAAAGAAACATCTGGATTAAATTGAGGATTGTACAACTTCAGAATAAGAAATTGATCAGCAGATAAGAAATGTTTGTTCTTCCTCAATAATGTTTATGACCAAATTTTGTACAATCCACACAGGCAATTAGAGGTTATTAGCGTCTTAAAGCAAAATATTAGATAATTTTCAACTTAAGGGCCCAGCCTTCCTAGCCCCAGGCGTCGAACCAGCCTCATTTATCGTCTCTGGTTTTTAGGAGGAGATGCGTTTTAAAGCAAAATTTTAGCAAAGTTCCCCTTTATGACCTGCCCCCCTTGCCTCAGTGGTCGAATCAACCTCATTTATTTAAGAAATGATTACCCTCCCCTACTGCTGCTTCAGACTTAATTTTCCCCTTTGGGGCCCAGCTTTCCTAGCCCCAGGGGTCAAACCAGCCTCATTTATTTAGGATATAATTGCCCTCCCCTACTGATGCTTCAGACTTAATTTTCCCCTTTGGGGCCGAGCCTTCCTAGCCCCAGGGGTTGAACCAGCCTCATTTATTTAGGATATGATTGCCTTCCCCCAATGAATTTTAAGAGCAAATTTGGTTAAAATTGTCTCTGTTTTTTAGGAGATGCGTTTTAAAGCAAAATTTTAGCTTTAGCTAAGTTCCCCTTCAGGGCCCGCCCCCTGGCCTTAGGGGTCGAACCAACCTCATTTAAGAAATGATTGCCCATCCCTACTGATGCTTCAGTCCAAATTGGGTTTAAATCCTCTTTAGCGTTTTGGAGGAGATAGGTTTTAAAGAAAAAGTTGACGACGGACGACAGACAATGGACGCTGCACCACGGCATAAGCTCACTATGGTCCTTCGGACCAGGTGAGCTAATAAAATCCCTTACTACCTACGATAGAAGAAGGATTTTAAAGGTTTTACCTCTATTTCCATTATTTGCCCCCAGGGTGGCCACACCCACCGTTTATACAAAATTGAGTCCCCTTGGCCCGAGGATGCTCCAGACCAAATTTAGTCAAAATCTACTTAGCCGTTCAGGAAAAGTAGCGTTCTAAAGGAAAAGTTGATGGACAGACGACAGACGGACAACGGACGCTGTGGTATGGCATTAAGTTAAGCTCACCATGGTCTTGGACCAGGTGAGCTAATAAATATATAAAAACATTTATTTAAGATGATACGAAACCTTGTACATCTTCAGTTTATATGTAACTGTAATACAAGTACACCATGCAGGGCAGGCCAAATACACAAAGTTAGCCAAAGCTGTTGAAAAGATGATGTTATGATATTCTAAATGTCAATCACAAAGAAACAGTTGGATTAAATTGGGGATTGTACAACTTCAGAATAGGAAATTGATCATATATATCATTTGTCCAAAACTGTTTATATTTTATTTTCACAATGTTTTAGTTATCTGTTTTCAATCTCTTTTTTCAAAGTTTCATATTTTTCCATGTTAACTGAGCACAAATCTAGGCTTTTTTGTAGAGTTTGATCAAAGACAGTGATGGTAGGTCGGGTGGGACACTTTCTGAACCAGACCAGCAGACAATTGTACACTTGGCTCGGTACATGAGTCGAGTTTTCCATTTTCTTCTGGTCCACTGTTTCACTGCCTACACCTAACTGCCCAACAAACATCTCCCAACCACTGCCAAAGTATGAAGCCAGATGCTGGAGGTCCTGTTCTGTCAGTCTGAGGGGGTCTGCAATAGAAGTGATGTATGGACTAATATGGTAACAACAGAATCAAGTCATACTTGTGACACCCGTGCTATATCATACACCCAGGTCATACATGTACCTGGTAACAATCAAGTCTTACCTGTTGTACACATAGCGTGTAAAAAGTAATATCTGAGTAATACAAATCTTAAAAGATAAATACATGTAACTAGTATATAAAGTAGGTCATAATACATATGGCCTTGAATAGCTCACCTTGATATTTTGAAATCTACCCAGAGCCCCCTTGAATGTTAACCACTTTATTTGTATAATTTTTCATCTAAACATGCTATTACAACAATTTGGTTAAAACCTGCTTAGTAGTTTGCAAAGAGATGTCTTTTAAAGCAAATCTTCCAAATTGACACTTTTTACCGAGTGCTGGCTCCTTTGTTTATATAACTTGAATTATGTGTCATATATGTATAGGAAATCAGCATTTTTACCCCTACTAGCTATCTCAGCCTCCAGAAGGGTCGATCAGCCCATTTATTTTTTATAACTGTTGATCCCTTAATTATGGGCAAAGCATGCTGCAAATACAGCTTGGTTGAAACGGAGTGCAAACCTATACTGAACAAAAAAAGAAAAGCACAATTAAATTATGCAATCAATAGCCTATGATATTTTGCGAAATTTGTACAAAATTTTATATCAATATGAAGGGACAAGTCTACTCTTTACAATACTGTAGAAGAAAAGTCTGTGTGACGTCACTCGTGTCATCAGTAGTTACTCAAAGTGGGATACCCGCTAAAAACAAAATGACACTTCAGTACCTAGTGTGGGCAACTTTTGCACGAATCCCTGCACGGATTCTCCTATGGATTGAATTCATGAGAACATTTATTCGCCTTAGGGGAATGTTGTTCCATTCTTGTGTTAATGCTGCAATCAACTTGGCGCGGTTAGTTGGGGGGTTTGACGTTTCCTAATACGCCTGTCCAGCTCATCCCACAGATGCTCAATGGGAGACATGTCGGGGCTATATGGGGGCCATTCCAGTGGCTGAACGTTGTTTGCCGTGAGAAAATCACGACAGACTCTGGCAACATGCAGTCGAGCATCGTCCTGCTGGAAAATTAGGTTATGACGTCTGAGAAGTGGAAGGACATGTGGTTGGAGGATCTGGTCTCTGCATCGAACGGCATTGAGGTTTTGATCCAGGACCACTAAGGGGGATTTTACTGCATGGAAGATGCCTCCCCAAACCATTACAGAAGCCCCACTGAATCTATCGCGTTCAACCCCGCATGCGTCGGCGAACCACTCACCGCGTCTGCGATATACCCTTTTTCTTCCGTCTGAGCGATACAGACAGAATCTAGACTCGTCGGTGAACATCACACACCTCCATCGACGCATCCCAAACCTATTCGGGCCATGTCTGCGCATCCAGTCAAGACAAACTTACCGCCTCCGTGGTGTCAGAGGTGGCCCGACATAAGGTCGGCGCGCAATGATTCTCTCGGCACGCAAGTGGTTCCTGGCAGTTTGAGGACTAATGGGTCTGCCATGAGTACCTAAGGTATGCGACGCAGTCTCTACAGAAGTCTTGAATCTGTTGCGCAAGTGCGACAATCGAATTGCCCTGTCTTGTTGTGCGGTCGTTACACCCATACGACCGCTCCTGGGACGATCGGAAACTAACCCAGTAGCACGGAAACGTGTACAGAGACGGTTAATTGTACACGGGCCAACACCAAACTGCCGTGCGACAGCAGTTTGGCTATGACCATCCATCAACATCGCAATTGCTCTACCCCTCTGCTTAAAGTGTGGCATCTTAGTCAATGGTGAAATCAAAATGCCAACGTGGAAAATTAATGTGGCTGAACTTAGAGTATCCGTTGAGATTATTTGTTTGAAAAACTCCGGCTTGGCTTGATCACGCCGCGGGAATTGGACTAAAGAAGCTCACAAAGTCACACAATGACATCGTCACGCTTGGCTGATTTTAGGGTAGATTGTTGAGAAGGGAGATCATTCTTGATGTAATACCTGACCAAATATTCCATTATTTCCTTACAGCTAAGGTGTACTGCAGGGGGGGAACTTTGTGCGTTTCTTTATTTGTTCAGTATATAATCGTCCTGGAAACCGGTGGGGTAATAATAATGACAAATATATATGTCATAATACACTGTACAAGCCACATACTTGTAGCTGGTAACATCAACCTTACCTTTGTATCATATGACATACCAATAGTAACAAGAGATACCTGTATATTACTCGTCATACTTATGTGACATGAAACATATATAACAATTAATACCTGTATAATAGTTTTCATGTAGGGATTCAATAGATTTTTTTTCATGTCAGAAACCGCTATTCATTGCCGCAATGTACATGAAAAAAAAATCCATTCCATTCATATATTTACGTTACGATGAACTACAACAAGAGGCCCAGAGGGCCTGTATCGCTCACCTGGATATCTAAGCAATCATGGCAGAATATTCTCCAAATGAGATCCAAGGGAATATGCCAGACCCAAAGGTCAATCCTTGTAGCATATATCTGTATTAGATTTTTCATGCCAAGCAATTTAATGTATGGTTATGTGGTGGGGATCTCAACTGCTTCCAAGCTGTGACTCAGAAACTAGGTCCCTAGGGTTGTGGCCAGACCCCAGGATCAATTCTAATACATGACTACATTTGTCTTTTTATGCCCAACGATTGTATATATAGTTTTTGGGTGGGAATCTTAACCATTTCAAAGTTATGACCCAGGGGTTAAGTCTCAAAGGGTGGGGCAGACCCCAAGGCCATCCTGGAAGCATATGTGCATTCATCTCTTTATACTCAGCAATTGTATATATGGTTATAGGGTGGGGATCTCAACATTTCCAAGCAAAATTTTTTTTTTGGCCCCACCCCTTAGCCCGGGGGTCAGCCCCACCATTTGTTCAATTTTGAATCCCTGCCTCCCATGAATGCTTCCAAACAAATATGATCAATATCCATGGTATAGTTCTACGGAAGAAGTCGTTTATAGCAGTATAGCCAAATTGCCCCCTTTTGGCCAAGCCCTCAGCCCCCTGGGGGGCCAGCCCCACCATTTGTTTAATTTTGAATCCCCACCACCCAGGGATGCTTCCAGTCAAATATCGTTTATATCTATCTCTTAGTTCCAGAGAAGAAGTCGCTTAAAGTAATATAGTTAAATAACCCTTTTTGGCCCCGCCCCTCAGCCGCCACATCATTTGTACAATTTTGATTACATGCCTCCCATGAATGCTTCTGATTAAATATGATTGATATCCAGTGCATAGTTCTACAGAAGAAGTCGTTTGTAGCAATTAAGCCAAAATGCCCCCTTTTGGCCCCGCCCGTCAGCCCCCTGGGGGGTCAGCCCAACCATTTGTACAATTTTGAATCCACACCACCTAGGGATGTTTCCAGTCAAATATGGTTGATATCCATCTCTTAGTTCCAGAGGAGAAGTCGCTTAAAGCAATATACACAAATTGCCCCCTTTTTGCCCCACCCCTCAGCCCCCTGGGGGGGGGGGTTAGCCCCACCATTTGTACAATTATGAATCCCCACCACATAGGGATGCTTCCAGTCAAATTTAGATAAATTCCAATCAGTGGTTAAGAAGAAGTCGTTTAAGGAAATTGTTGACGGACGGACAGACGGACGACAGACGGACGGACGTCGTACGCCACGGTATGGCATAAGCTCACCTTGGTCCTTCGGACCCGGTGAGCTAAAAAAGGTTTTGTAGATTTAATATTTTTTATATTAGAATCGGTCAGAAAACCACAAACAAGATACCCAAGAGCCTGTATCGCTCACCTGAATATGTTTAAAATAATTGGTATGAAGTAAAGATATAGCACTATATATTTCTCCTATGGGGCCCCCCTCTTCTGCCCCCTGGGAGACCACACCCACTGCTTATACAAATTTGAGTCCCCTTGGCCCAAGGATGCTCCAGACTAAACTAGGATAAAATCCCTTAATCGCTATGGTAGAAGAAGGATTTTAAAGGTTTTACCTCGATTTCCCCTATTGGGCCCCTCCCCTCTGCCCCTAGGGGGACCACACCCACGGTTTATACAAAATTGGTTCCCCTTCACCTAAGGATGCTTCAGACCAAATATATAAAAAAATCCTTTCATTCCTACAGAAGAAGAAGGATTTTAAAGAATTTGTTATATTTCCCCTATTGGGCCCTGCTTCTCAGCCCCCAGGGGGCCAGACCCATCAACATTGGGTTTCCCTTCACCCAAGAATGCTTAAACAAATTTCAGACCAAATATGGACCAAATCCTTTCATTCCGACAGAATATGAAGGATTTTAAAGAATTTGCTATGTTTCCCCTATTAGGCCCCGCCCCTCAGGCCCTTCAGGGGCCAGACCCACCGTTACCAAATCGGTTCCCCTTCACACAAGGATGCTTCAGATCAAATATGGAACAAATCCTTTCATTCCTACAGAAGAAGAAGGATTTAAATAAAAAAGCTATATTTCTCCTATTGGGCCCCGCCTCTCAGCCCTTAGGGGGGCCAGACCCACCATTTTTACAAAATTTGTTCCCCTTTCCCCAAGGATGCTTCTGACCAAATTTGGTCCAAACCCACCATTTATACAAAATTGATTTCCCTTCCAAATATGATGCTAAAATTAACATTTTGTCAAAATACCTTCATCCCAACAGAAGAAGAGGGAAATAAAAGCTCTTCCTCTATATCCCTTATTGGGCCCACCTCTCTGCTTAAATTGAGTCCCCTTGGCCCAATGATGCTCCAGACTGAATAAGGATAAAATCCCTTAATCCCTACGATAGGAGAAGAATTTTGGAGGTTTTACCTTTATTTCCCCTATTCAACCCCACCCCTCTGCCCCAAGGGGCGGGGTGTCGGGGCGGGCCACACCCACCATTTATACAAAATTGATTTCTCTTCTAAATATGATGCTACTGTTCAAATTGGGTCAAAATACCTTCATCCCAACGGGAGAAGAAGGAAATTTAAGCTATTCCTCTATATCTCTTATTGGGCCCTGCCTTTCTGCCCCTAGGGGGTCAGACCCACCGTTTATACAAAAATTGGTTCCCCTTCACCCAAGGATGCTTCATACCAAATTTGGACAAAATCCTGTCATTCCCACAGAAGCAGAAGGATTTGGAAGAATTTGCTATGTTTCCCCTATTGGGCCCCGCTCCTCAGCCCCCAGGGGGGCCACACTCACTGTTTTTACAAAATTAGTCTCTTTTGCCCAAGGATGCTCCAGACTAAATTAGGATAAAATCCCTTAATCCCTACAGTAGGAAAAGGATTTTGAAGGTTTTACCTCTATTTCCCCTATTCAGCCCAGCGCCTCTGTTTGAGTGCCCCAAGGGGGGGCCATGCACACCCACCATTCATACAAAATTGATTTCTCTTCTAAATATGATGCTACTGTTCAAATTGGGTCAAAATACCTTCATACCAACGGAAGAAGAAGGAATTTAAGCTATTCCTCTATATCTCTTATTGGGCCCTGCCTCTCTACCCCCAGAGGGGTCAGACCCACCATTTATACAAAATTGATTCCCCTGGGCCTAAGGATGCTCCTGACCAAATTTAGTCAAAATCTACCTTTTCAGCCCGTTCAGGACTAGTAGCGTTTTAAAGGAAAAGTTGACGGACAGACGGACGACGGATAGACGGACGACAGATAACGGATGCTGCGGTATGGCATAAGCTCATCATGGTCCTTTGGACCAGGTTAGCTAATAAAATCCCTTAATCCCTACGGTAGAAGAAGGATTTTAAAGGTTTTACCTCTATTTCCCCTAGTGTGCCCTGCCCATCTGCCCCCAAGAGGGCCACACCCACCCTTTATACAAAATTGAGTCCCCTTGGCCCAAGTATGCACCAAACTAAATTAGGATAAAATCTTTTAATCCCTATGGTAGAAGAAGGATTTTAAAGGTTTTACCTCTATTTCCCCTATTGGGCCCCGCCCGTCTGCCCGCTGCGGTATGGCATAAGCTCACCATGGTCCCTTGGACCAGATGAGCTAAAAATCTGTTTTTCGGTCTTTACATGTAAATAATTTGCATTTTACATCGGGCAAGTAGAACATATTTTTGGGCAAGTCGATTTCTAAGGTCTACTAGCCCGGGGCAAATGCGTTTTTTTTTTTTACACCCCTGAGATTATAGTGACATACATGTACTTTTCATATACTGCACTCCGCCATCATAACATGTACCACCATACTGATTTTGTTTTGACATATAGTATAGAACATATTCCATAGACAATCTTTTTCAAGGTTAAAGGTCAAAGCATAGGTCACTGTACAAAATCTGGTTTATCTAGGTGAAATAGTATTGAAGAAATGCCCAAGACAAACCTTTTCAATGGTTCATGTCAAAAATGGAGTTACAGTGACCTACTCCTTATACTCTGTAGTCTGTGAACCAAGATGGTGTTACAGTGACCTACTCCTTATACTCTGTAGTCTGGGAACCAAGATGCACTTTCATATCAGATCTGGTTACTGCAGGTGATAAAAGTATATATACAATATATGTCGAACAAACTTATTTCAAATGTTAAGGTTAAAGGTCAAAGAACGGAAATCTTTATTCAAGGTATAGGTCAAAGGTCAGAGCATATATCGCAGCGACCTTCTCCTTTTACTCTGCACTCCATGGTCAACCATCCCAAGGTGAATCAACTCATCTAAGGTATTCTAATGCCATACTTTGGGGTATTTTTGGTTATATTTGGCGCTTGGAATAAATAAGCCAAAATTAAACACTCCCAAAATTTCACAAGCCGCGAGAAACGTAATACAATAGGTTGTGTATTGGATCTAAAAACTCATACCATTCCAACATGTTTTCAGTGTAAACAAAGGCTATAGATGATGGAGTCCTGTCATTTACCAGCACAACTACTGTAATTACAATGGACTGATTGAGCCACTACTTAACAGTAGGTATTAAGCAATAGATTTTAGCACAAATGATTGTAAAACGCCAACATGTGACACACCAAAATATAATCACCCTATTTTGAGAAAAAAATGCTAATTTTTGGTAAAGCCAAAAATACGCCAAAGTACGGTACTTGACCTTTGAATACAGTTTGTTAAAATCTGTTAAGATAATGAAATCGAGATGATGGAACTGAATCGGGACCGATCAGGACAGGACGCAGTAAACAAGGGTAATACAACTCTGACCAATTGCACAACAGTAATATGATTTACATCGTGCTAAGATAGACCGATGCTGAACACACAGAAATATAGTTCAATAATCAATGACTGTTACTCTTACACACAACAGATTTCATTTCATAAATTTGATGTTGTGATAGTTTGATTTATTTATTTAAAACTACAGAAAATTCCACACGTACACTTAATGTTGAAACCTCTGTAACTAACACCATCAACAAACACGCACCTATAAAACTAAATCACAAGAAAAACTACATGAATCAAAACCTAAGGAAAGCCATACACAGAAAACACACCTTATATATACAACAAATACAACAAAAACTGAAACAGTGGGAAAACTGTCCATATTGATAATTACTTGAAATCTGATGTATTTTAACTAATATACTATTTGTTTTGCCTAAGTTATGATATGTCAAATGTAACATAAATGTCGGTTATAAACTCTATAGAACCTATGCTATTTGTTTTTAAAATACCCAACGGCTTTAAATAAAATATATCTAGCATCCATCTATGATTAATCAGAAAATCTTACCTCCCTGGTTGGGGTCTGTAGCTGATACCTACAATGAAACAATTGTATCTTTACTCTTAAACTAAAACAAAACGGTATACATGTATGTTTATATATAATTGTTCACATTCAAGTTCAAACAATTAAGAAGAGACCCAGAGGACCTGTATCGCTCACCTGGATATCTAAGCAATTATGGCAAAATATTCTCCAAATGAGATCCAAGGGAATATGCAAGACCCCAAGGCCAATCCTTGCAGCATATCTGTATTAGATTTTTCATGCCCAGCAATTGAAAGTATGCACTGGTGGACCCTTACCGTGTATTTTTTTCATTTTTTCGTTTAATTTTCAAAAATCGTTTAGTTGTTCTCTTTTTGTGTGTATTTTTTGGATTATAGTTTATATTTGACGAGTCACCGTTTATTGTTTAAACCGACGTTTATTCTTCGCAGACTTGTGTTTAGTTTTGAGTATAACAGTTTGTTTTATAAATGCATGTTAACTTTTCACGGAACAGAGTTTGTTTTATAACTACATGTTTA